GGTTGAGCTATAGGCGCCGAGCCTCATATGTATTATTTTGATTAAAAATTTAAGGAAGGTGAAGAAAGGGGCATGGAAGTGTAAATATATAAGATGTGTACAGGGGCTAGTAAATGGGTTCATTTACCTGGAGTCAAAAAAATTTGGCCAGGATATAATGAGACAAAAGGCTGTAAGGGTAGGTAGAGGTTAGATTGTGAAGGGCCTTGCCTATCCTGCAAAGGATATTTAGAAAGCATTGGGGAGTGTGGAGAGATTACTGCACAGATGGTGTATCTGAGAGAGGTTCTTACTCTAATGCAATTTGGCAACAGTGTACCAATTGAGTGGGAGGAGCCCATACTTGTTACTGAAACATAAAAAACTTCTGTCCACCTCCTACCTCTTCTCTTCTAACACTGTCCTTTCAGTCATAGGTGCCTTCTTACTGTTCTTGAAATGTAACAGGCGTGGCCAGGCATAGTGGCTCACACCTGTAATCCTAGCACTCTGGGAGACTAAGGCAAGTAGATTGCCTGAACTCAGGAGTTTGAGACCAGCCTGAACAAGAGTGAGACCCTGCCCCTCCACTAAAAACAGAAAAATTAGCAGTGTCATGGTGGGCACCTGTAGTCCCAGCTGCTCAGGACACTGAGGCATGGATCGCTTGAGCCCAAGTTTAAGGTTGCTGTGAGCTATGATACCTTGGCACCATACCCACTCTACTCTGTCTCAAAAAAAAAAAAAAGTGGCAAGCTAATTCCTGCCTTGAGCCTTTATACTTGACTGTGCCCACTGCCTAGAATACATTTCCCCAGATCTTCTCATGGCTGCTTCCTCATTATTTCTAGGCTGTAGCTCCATTGGAAGAGGCCTTCTCTGAGCACCTAGAATCCTCTTTCCCCTGTCACTATCACATCACTCCTTTTTATCTTTTTATAGTATTTGTCACTCTGATGTTATTTATTTACAAGCCTATATGCTTCTTTCCAGTTGACAGAAGGTCCTGAGAGCAACTTTGGTTTTTGTTCAAACAAAAACAGCTGCTTTGGCTCAGTGCCTATAGCTCAATTGGCTAAGGCGCCAGTCACATACACCTAAGGTGGCAGGTTTGAATCCAGCCCGGGCCCGCCAAATAACAATGATGGCTGCAACCAAAAAATAGCCGGGCGTTGTGGTGGGCACCTGTGGTCCCAGCTACTCGGGAAGCTGAGGCAGGAGACTCGCTTGAGCCCAGGAGTTGGAAGTTGCTGTGAGCTGTGATGCTACAGCACTCTATCCATGGGGAGAGCTTGAGGTTCTGTCTCAAAAAAAAAAAAAAAACATAAACGAAAAACAGCTGCTTTGTTTGTTTTGTTTTTGAGACAGTCTTACTCTATTACCTGGGGTAGAGTGCCCTGGTGTCATCATAGGTCACAGCAACCTTAAACTTCTGGGCTCAAGGGATCCTCGTGCCTCAGCTTCCCAAGTAGCTGGGACTACAGGCATCTGCCACAATGCCCAGCTAAGTTTTCTTGCTTTCTTTCTTTTTTGCAGTTTTGGCAGGGGCCGGGATTGAACCCACCATCCTCAGTAATGGGGCTGGTGCCCTACTCCTTGAACCACAGGCCGCCCCCAGCTAAGTTTTCTATTTTTAGTAGAGATAGAGTCTGGCTCTTGCTTATGCTGTTCTCAAACTCCTGACCTCAAGTAATCCTCCTGCCCTCGGCCTCCCAGAGTGCTAGGATTACAGGCGATAGCCACCCCACCCAGCTGCTTTGTTTTGTTATTCCTGTATCTCATGTAATATCCCTTACACAAAGTAGGACCTTAATATTTATTAAATTAATTATTATTAAATTATATATGTATTTTGCAATTTTTGGCCGGGGCTGGGTTTGAACCCATCACTTCCAGCATATGAGGCCGGCGCCCTACTCCTTTGAGCCACATGCGCCGCCCCAAATAACTAATACTTAATGAATTAAGGGATGAGGAGTTCAGTTAGGAACGGGTTATACCTAGTTCTGGTTCGAGAATTACTGTCCTAGGCATGCATGCATTCTCTCATTCTACATTTGATCCATTTATTAAACCACTATCTTGCACTCAGGCGCTAAGGTTGTAAGGAAAAAATCAGAACTCCATCCTGTCCTGTCCTCAAGGAGCTGTTTAGTAGACTCAGCGACAGCAGCTGTACTTCTCAACAAATCCTAAAAGGCCATGCTGAGGTCTCTCTCCAGTAATCCACCATCAGATCCACCCTCCTCCTCCAGACCATCCCTGGGGACCAAAGCTATCCCCGCATTCCACTCCTCCCAGACTACAGAGGAGCCACTGACCCCATTCGGGTGCAGAATGAGGACCTCGCAAGGTCCAGGGAGGCAGCCGCCACGGTGAAAGCGCCCTTGCCGCCGCCCGACGGGTGGGCGGGTGTCCGCGGGGCCCGGGCGGGGCCGGCCGTCTGCGGCGAGGCAGGCACCACTCGGCAGCGGCCGGGGGCGGGGCCGCGCCGGGGCGCAGGGGAGGAGAGCGGGCCGGGACTCAGCCCAGGGCCGGGAGGGCCGCGGCCACCGGAAGAGTCGCGGACGCCAGCCCAGCCGAGAGAGTGGGGAGCGGAAGCGGTGGCCGCGGCGGC